GGGATGTCCTGAATAAGGCAAAGGATGTATCCTGAGTGCATCAACCAAGGACCCACTTCTGAGACTGTCACAGCTGGGACCTGTGGCAATAAAGCAATTGCATTCAGGAAGAAGGCAGCTCAGCATAGGGACAAAGAGCTCCTTACAAAGTCCCAAACTCTTGTAGGCCAATGACGTTATATCTTTGGGCAGACTTATGCTCAGGAGATTGACTGGGGAGTGGAATGAGTTTCCAACTGGGAGATTTAAGGTGGGGTCCCAGGTACGTGTGAGCCTGGGACTGCCCTTGTACAGCCAGGCTTTTCTGTTCCATCATTACATTTTATATGAGATGCTTCAAAATATTGAGAGTGATCGTAACAAAAGGATCCGGATTTCTAGCTGGGCATGGTGGTACATGCTTGTGACCTCAGCAATCAGGGGCTAAAGCAGGCAGATGGTAAAATTAAGGATGACTTGGGCAACACAGTGAGACCTTACTCAAAATCTGTCTGTGTTTTGTTTTCTGAGTAGCTTAGAAGAGTTTCTCAGAATCTGACCCACATTTCTGTATGACAAGCTGAGGTCAACTGTCCTTGTAACCCTTGAAGTAGCGAAAAAATACGTACTGAACATCTTTTAAGTGTAGCACTTGGATACACCAGGATTAGGCACTGGTGGTGGTCTGAGTGAGAATGACAAAAAGCCCTCTCCATTCCTGGTTAGTTCTCTGCCTCAGGTTTATAGATGAGATGTCAGCCCTCGGCTGCTGCTCCAGTACCCTGCCTGCCTGGCCTGCGGCCATGCTCCCACCATGATAGTTGTAGACCCTGTGGAACTGTGAGCCTCCAAATTAAATACTTTCTTTTATAAGTTGTCTTGGCCAGTAGTGGAAAAGTAACTGGAACAGCACATTTAAGCACCAAGCTGACATTTCTGCCTTTGGTTACTGCCTGCACAGGGGCTAGGATGATTGTGGGAGGGGGAAGATGGGCCTTTTACTCTGGAGCTGGATTCCCATTGTGTGTGTGTGTGCATGCGTGTGCGTGCGTGTGAGTGAGTGTGTGTTTCAAAAAGATTTGTTTATTATGTATTCAGTGTTCTGTCTGCATGTTTGCCTGCAGGCCAAAGAGGGCACCAGGTCTCATTACAGATGGTTGTGAGCCACCATGAGGTTCCCGGGAATTGAAGCCAGGACCTCTGGAAAAATAGCCAGTGCTCTTGACCTCTGAGACACCTCTCCAGCCCCTCATTGTGTTGCTTATTACTGGCCTACCCTCCCTCCCTCCCTTTTGCCACTTTTTACCAAGATGAGCAGGACACCTGTGGCCATGGCACTCTCTGTTTTGGAATAACAGATGTGGAGTTTTTACTTAGAATAGAGAAAGAAACACAAGAGACAGCAATGTTTTGTATGTTAGTGTTAATATAGTTTATTATGTATTTAAAAAATAAGGCCCTCTCTCCAAAAAGCTTAGTTTGCAAGGACAAATGGCAGACACACATTAGAAAATAATTGTTTCTAAATCTTTTTACTTGCAAAGTTCAGGTGTAATTAAAAAAACTGTCCCTCTTTTAGGGAATAATTTCCTAAAAAAAATTGCACCTTATAATCTTCAATTAAATTAAAGTTGGATTATACCAAGTGGCTGTGCTAGGTCTATTGAGTTTCTTTCTGGAAATGTTATGAGATAGTCACCGGGATACTCAGAGCTTCAGAGTTTTATCACTTATGGCATTATAAATGTCCTCGGTCATGGGCACATATGTTTTTGCTGTGTCGTCCATGAAATACAAGGCATCTTTGATGACTGTGGGATTAAAGCCCTCTTCCATCAGGGTCACTTTGCGGTGTTTAAAAGTTCCGGTGATCTCAATGGCATCCTGAAAAAAAGATCAGACAAGCTATGCTTCAGTTGTGCTTTACGTTAGGATGAAGGGCTAGGGTGGAGTTGTTGGAAATTGGCAGTGTGCTGGCTGGCTTCCTTTGTCATGAGAGCTGATGGAGCTTCACATGGGGGGCCTATGTGAGGGGGTCAAATATCAGATATCCTGCATATCACATATATACATTATGATTCAGAACAGTAGCAAAATTATAGTTATGAAGTAGCAATGAAATAGTTTTATGGTTGGGGGTCACCCCAACATGAGGAGCTGTCTCAAAGGGTCACAAGAAGGTTAAGAACTACTGACTGAGAGCCTTAGGAGCCCCATGTGGAATGAAGAGCTGCCAACAGTGTGCAGACTCTGAGCAGAGGGGACACCGGTAAGGTGGGCCATCCTGGCTGTGGGTAGAAGCAGGAGAGGGGTCATTTAGACACAAAGGATCCTGTTTTCCCAGTCTGTTATGAGACACATCTGAAGATATTTCATGTTTCTGTCATTACCATCTGTGTGCAAAGCAAATGCCAGCCCTTTATGAACAACAACAGAAGTAGCCTTCCTTACCTACTCAACCCTGCCCAGGACCCTAAGAGTTTGTCAAGTTACATAACCACAGGGCTCAAGGTACTTAATGGGAGGACTGAACCAACTCCAGCGACACTTAAAAGTTACTGATGATGCTCAGTTAAAATGTCCCCTATAGAATGGGGGTGGGGCCCCAGCAGATTTGTGTTCTTTAGAATTGGAGACAACATGGCTGTGGATGTATCTCAGAGGCAGAGTGCTTGCCTGGTATGAGCTAGGTGCTGCATGCTGGCCGTAGCACAGAAAGCGAGAAAAGGAAACCTGAAACAGGAGGGTTAGATAATTTCTGTTTGAAAGCATCTTTGACACTTCATCAAATGCTGACTTTGTTAGTTGTCTTCTAAGGCTACAGGTGAACAAATTGGCCTGCCATTTCAGTGGGGGAGAGATTGGAATGGGATTTCTGTATGCTGTATTTCTGGTATTTTCCTATCCTTACTGAACTATAGCACTTCTTCCTGAACTCTGTCCTGTGAGTATGCTAAAAATTTGGTAACCGCAGTCACCACGGAAGAAGGGGGCGGTTCCCCAAGAAAGTGCCTGGGAGAGAATTGAACTTGGTCAGTCTTCTCACCTGTATTCGCAGGAACCGAGGCCTGGCATAGTTCGGCAGGTACTCCGCGATATGCTGAAAGAGCTTCTTTCCATTGAACTCAGAGTTTTCTTTCATCTTGATCGAGGCCATCCCAATTCGACCCTCATGACCTGGGAAAAGAGTGAGAAAACATTAGCTGCTAATTTCCTTCATGAGGCTCTGCCAGGTCAAAGAACTATGAGCTTCGACAACAGCCAACATTAAGTTTCTTTTGAGTAGTTCTATTTTTTTTATTTCAAACACGTACATCCACATTATTCCACGATAAATGCAGGATTACTAGAAATGTTAATCAATAATTAAGTAATAAAACTAACAATAGGTCTATGTTGACTTTTTAATAGTTACCATGGCCTATACTCGGTGTATTCTCATTTAACCGCAGCAACAACCTTGGGAAGAGGAGCAGAGGAGATTTAAAGGCATATAACAACTTGTCTGCGGTCATACAGCAAGGGCCAGGCAGTGTCAGAGCCCGACCCAGACAGCTCTGCTTTGGCTCCTGGGCTTGTGGCCATCACTGCTCTTCTTAGTGAGCTACACAGAGCTGAGTACTATGACACTATGACTGAATTGGTGGCTAAAGGGCATTTTTTGTTTGTTTGTTTGCCTGTTTCTTTTTTCTTTTTCTTTTCTTTTCTTTCTTTATTTTTTAGAGACAGGGTGTCTCTGTGTAGCTTTGTAGACCTGGCTGGCCTTGAGCTCACAGAGATCTGCCTGCCTCTGTCAGGCCTGTTTCATCTTTTGCTTTAGCAGAAAGCCTTGCTCCACTGTCATGAATAACTGAGCTGGATTTGCCATGTTGGGTCTGTTGTGCTGTGGGTACAAAGACTGCCTTTGAGACTTGTTTGTTCACTCAGAGCTCCCAACAGCTCTCCTTCCTTGTATTTCACAGGCTGCAGGGCAGAGGGATGAAGACAGGCGCGGGTGTGTGTGTGTGTGTGTGTGTGTGTGTGTGTGTGTGTGGTGAGCTGTTGTGCGTTCTTCCGCTCATGTCCAGCACTCTCAAGGGAGTACACAGCAAAGAGAAAACTGAGCTCCACGGTGGGGCTGTGAGTGGAGAGGTGATTGGAACAATTACTATTGTTTGCTTGTGAGGACAGTGGTAATTAGGTACTAATATATTTTCTACCTGATCCAGCAGGCCCAGGGGAGACCGGGTCCACTTCCCTGAACTACTTAGCCGTAATCAGAGAGGAAGGAGCCGTCCTTGGTCACCTGGGCCCCAGCGTTGGAAATCTCTCCCATGGTGATGGTGTGTTTACCCACTGCACCAACGAAGGCAAGAAACAAAGGGACACTTAAAACAGAGAGGTGCTTGCTCCATTCGGTTCTCCTCTGATCTGAAGGGGGAGGGCAGGGTACCAGACTCTTTAAAAAGGGGGTCCCTCACACCTGCCTCAGGACCTCATCATCCCCAGCAGAATTAGGGGGAGTTGGTGCCTCGGACAGATTCTGCGCTGCCTGGCTCTCTGACTCCTTGCTTTGGTAGCGACAATGCCTGACCCATAGGAAAGTGGGCCTGCTAGACCCCAGGCTGACTCCTAGATGTTGCCTTTGACTAATTCAGTTTTAAGAAGAAAGTTTAGGCTAGGGCTAAAGATCAGACCTGGTCCATTCGTGGGAGCTGTATTGTTTAAAGCAGCACCCACTGCCCACATATGGTTCCTAAAACGAAAAATCAATTATAATGAAGTGAAAGGGAAAATTCATTTTCAGTTGTACTACCCACATTTTAAGTATCGGACAGCCATGCTGTGACTGTTGGCTACTCTACTGGATGTTTTCATCAATGCAGAAAGATTTACTGAGAACTGGGACTGTTCTTTTGATGCCTCCATTCTAGGTCCCAAACTAGACGTTCTTCCCTGGTGCAAAGGTAACAGCTGAGGCCCACAGTCACTTCTGGTGCATGCACACTTGACCTGAGCAGGGCTGGCTGCGTTTCCAGGCTCAGTCTAGCTGTCTGCCGTGGCTAGGATGCCAGATGGCAATCAGAGTGACCCTGAGAATACGGGGCTGTGCGGGATTGTAGAGCTCATCTCTAATCTTTCACTGCTGTGGGAATTCTTTCAGGATTCTCAGATGGAAGATGGCCCAGCATCTTTTCACATGTTTATGTGCACAGCTGGTGGCTGCCTACCTCTGGAAACCAGCCCATTTGACGCTGGTCCCTCTGGCTATGGGGGTTTCCAGGCTGATGTCCTCTCCCCGAGCATCTGTTTCAGGTGGGCTACTGAGCAACACTGAACACAGCTGCTCCCTGTTCTGACTGTCCAGGGAGGACAGACTCACTCGGCAGCTTCTAGATCCCAATTCTAGAAGTTCTGCTGCCTTGACTCTGGGATTTACAGATTTACAGACTTCCCCAGGTGACTGGAGATTGGCTACATTTTGAGAAAGACTTGAGTTCAAGCCTTTCATAGTTCAGTGGGATTTTTGTTGTTTGTACTTTTTGTTAAAGATCGATCTCACTATATAGTCTGGGTTAGTCTGGAACTCACCACATAGCTCATAGCTCTGGCTTCAGCCTGTTTCGTGCTGAGACTGCTACTGCGCACGCACCGCCATACCCGCATTCCTTTTAGTTGTGTAAAGTATGAAATTCATCATTTTCACCACTTCAGTGCTGCACTCACAATGTTTTCCAATCACTGTACATTCTAGGACATTTTCATGGTGTCTGAATATTGTTTGTGTTATGAGGGGAGGAGCTTGGCATCAAACTCAGAGCCTGTGAGCACACGCTGGGCAAGCAATCTGCCACTGAGCCACACCCCTGGCCTAGTGTTTTTAAGAGTCACTAGAGGGATTTAAAAAAGTGCTGTTTCCTAGGCCCACCCTTTCAGCAGATCTGGGTGGACCTGACACATTTCAATTTTAGCAAGTTTTTGGGTATGATGACCTTGCTTATTTGAGACTCTGTGCCTGAGGAATACTGGGCTTTCCATCCACCTTCCAGATTTTCTCAGCTACTTAAGAAAAGTTTAAAGATTCAGCACTTAGGAGCATATCCGCCACTGTAAGAGGGCTCTATAACAGCCTTGGGCATCATGGTCTCTGACAGCCCTGACTTGGACACTTGGGTTACCACAGCTGAGGGTCTGCTGAGTTTCCTTACAGACCAAGTGTCAAGACTCTGTGAGCTGAGATGTGGCTACGCTTTCCATCACATCATTGTTGTCACATGATCATAGGGAAACAGGCGAGAAAAATACCTACCCTTCAGTTGATTGGAATGTAAATCAGTCCAGCTACTACAGACATCAGTATGGTGGCTTCTTGAGCAAAACTAAGAGAAGATCTAATGTGTGACCCAGTTAGCCCACTCCTGGGTGTTTAGGCAAAGGATCCCAACTCATCCCAGAGACACTTGCATGTCAGTGTGATTACAGCACAGTCACAACAGCTAAGGATGGAAACAGCCCAAGTGAATAAGAAAATGTGATATATATGCACAATGGAATGTTTTTCAGGCCTACAGAAGACTGGAGTTAGGTCATCTGTAGGGAGATAGATAAAACTGGAGATAATTATACTAAGTGAATTAAATCAGCTTCAAAAGGGCAAATATGCATTTTCTCTTATTTGTTTCTCTTAGATTTTATAGACATATATAAAATCATGTATGCATATATGACATGGAAATAGAAATCTTGGTGGCAGACAGACGAGAAAAGGGAGAAATGGGATATAGGGAGAATATGCTCTACATGTAATATATAATTGCATGGAAATAAAAAAGGTTCACAAAAATAAATAATCGATGTAGCAAGGTAACCAACTTACCATAGATTCAGGAACTCCCTGCCCTGTCAGAGTAAGCAGCAGACTGCTGTAGTCAACTACAAAGCCTCTCAGACCAGACCATCTGCCTGAAGAAGCAGAAGCCTACCTGGAAGAGGTTTAGACAGACTTGCAAAGGACCCTCTCCAGCCTGTGGAGCTGCCTGCGGGCTGTGCAGTGCGCTCCAGGTTTCCAGCTTTGTGAGCTGTCACCCATGCTGGGCTGGGCTGTGGTGATGCAACTCTCTTTGAGCTATTTCTGCTCTTGCAAGCAACCTCTTTCCCATATTCCTATTATCAACTCCACTAAAACTCATTGGTTCACCAAATTGGATTTGGGTGGCATCTGAATTTTGGCACCTTATATTTGGGCATTGACTTGGAGAATTTAAGCCTAATATCCACAATTAAAATGACTGACACTTACGGTAACTCTAGTATACATTTGACAAATATGTTTGTATTTGCGAAGCTAAAAGAAATTAGTTCTGACAATTTCACTGCAAGGCCAGTGTTATCTCCAATTTGAGGGCCTTGAGAAATCACCAGTGGGTGCTGGAGCCAAGCTTCTCCCCAACCTGCTAGCAGAGGCAGATCTGTGGACACCTCTGTGACTCCACTCTGTGATGATGCTGAAATTCAGGGTCTGGGCTGGCCTTAGGAGCCTGCTTTTGCACAAGAAGAGGCTGAACAAAATCTTCCCCTTCCCAGTTTTCTCTCTAGAAACTGTAACTGATCCTGCTCGCACCTTCTACTTCAGAGACAATACACCACTTCACAGCCCGCAAGCTCTCACAGTATGCCAAACAGAGACCTGGAAAGGAGGAAACCTCCCTTGCCTGAGAACCCTGAATTAAGCAGCGGCTAAAACACACAGGCATGCCAGCATCAGATGCACTGAACTACTTTGACAGTGGTGCACGGAGCAGAGAGAAACATCTTAACCTCTGAGTGGCTTCACTCTCTAGGCAGTGGGAGAAAGCAAGACAAACTTTGGCCTGCTGTTATGATTCTGTTCAGTGCCTGCATGTGTCAGATAGATTCATGGTGTCTTCTACATACCTGGCACGGGCACTCCATAGACGTTCACTTCCTCAACAAAATCAACCAGTCCTACTATGTCAGCAACTTCAGTGGTAGCTACATTCTCTCCTTTCCACCTGGGAGAAAAGGAAGGGTTAGCAGAAACCATGCTTGCTTTCTGGCTAGTGTTTCTTTTAGACCTTGGTGAGGTGGTTGATATTCCCATACTGGTCCCCTAAGACCCCCCAGCTCACTTGACTCATTCTGTTGGTGTCAAAAGGGTATAGCCCTAGATAATAGAATGTGAAATTTCAATCTTGTCACACAAAACATAATAGATATCATTGTGTGCGAATGTGAAATCTAGAGTTGGCTAAGAAATTTACTGGATGTCAGAAATAAATCTCAACTTCTTTTAGCTTTGTTTAAGTCTCTTTAACATCTTATTTAATTCATTTAATGAACTTCTTTTTAGCAGAATTTCATAGTTGCATTTCTAGTTCTCATAATAACAAAGCTTTTAGTTAAGAAGAAAAAAATCACACTTTTATTACATAAAGATTGTAATGTTAAGGCCCAGCCAGGTGCTATTTTTCATTTAATTAAGACTTAGGGGTTTTATAAAAAAGTCCTTTAGGTCTCTCAAAAGAATGTGTGTGTGTGTATGTTCTGTGTAAGTGTGCATATGCATGTGTGTGTGTGTGTGTGTGTGTATGTGTGTGTGTGTGTGTGTGTGTGGAGGCCAGAGGAGAACCTTGAGTGTTTGTTCTCAGGCATTGCCCATTCTTTTAAAAAGGCAAGATCTTGGCTAGGGTGGCTGACTGGCCAGCAGACTCAGGATCTGCCTGTTTCTGCCTCCCCAGGGTTAGATCACAAACATGCTGCATCAAGCCCAGCTTTGTAAATGTGCGTTCTGAGGACTGAACTCTGGTTCTGGCACTTGCCAGGGCAAGTGCTGCATTAACCATTTCCCAGCTTCCGGAAGTAACTTCTTAGTGAGGGTGGCATAAAATTCCAGGGCCAGAGAATATTTGGGATGGAGTAAGTGCTGAAGATCGTAAGACTCTCAAGAAATGGGTGAAAGGATGATTAATTTACAGCACTTCCCAAACAAAATCTCTTGCTCTCATAAGCCTATTTAAAAAAAAAAAAGGTCAAACCAGTGGCCATGACTGTGTTGAGTCTGGCTGTCACCCTGCCTTGACATTTTTACTGTAGTCAGCCAAGGTTCGTGATTTCTGGAGTCACTCATACAAGGGCAGTGACTTGCATCAGACACTGCATCCAGTGCTGTCTGGGGAGTTCCTATCTCAGGGAACTCACACAGGAAGGCTGTTTATGCCATGAGCTGGAGGACTTGTTGGAGATTCATGTCACCATTTACCAAAATGACTTCCACACTTCCTTGTGCTAGCCTGGGGATTTTGTGAGAAGCCGTCTGATAGAGATGGAGGACAGAAGGAAGGGAGGGGGAAAGGCTCTGAATCTCACACCTCTTCAACCAGATCAACTTCACATTAATTTATACTTGTTTTTAACCTAAAAGCAAAAAGCTGTCTGATTAGAAATATGTGAAAATTCCCGTTATCCTAAGAGCATCCACTAAATATGCAGGACATGTAGAGCAGCTGGATGGACTTTGAGCTCTGTAAACAAGGAAGAGGTGTCCTGCCTTTACGTTTACTTGTGCTGTAGAGAGACGCTTCATAGTTCACTCCTTAGTCTCTGGGAAAATAAGGAGACAAATGGCAGCAAGAGACAGGAGAAACTGAAGCATCTCCGGAAAGTGGCATCTGATTCCAACTCAGGAATAGGTCAAAGTGTGCATATATTTGCTTTGGGCTCAATAATCCAGAGAAACCAACCGGAATGTATCTCCAACTCTGTCATGAAAATAGACAAAATTTTCCCGATCAATCATTAGGAGGTCTCCACTGTTGAAATAGACGTCTCCTTTCTTAAAGACATCCCGGAGTTTTTTCTTCTCCGTCTGAGACTTCCCTCCAGCATAGCCATTAAATGGTGTAAGTTCTGTGATTTTGCAAATCAAGAGCCCGACCTCACCTGAGACAGAAGAGAGTAAATTGTCATTTATTTTTATAAAGAGATAAGCACATTTTATCACCAACTTTATAACTGACGGCAGACAGCCCACAGACAAGAAACCTGCTGTGGGAAGCACCACTTCTTATATCCATATTCATATATACCATGCAGTGGTTTAAACGTGACATGTCCCCCACAGGCGTGTGTATTTGAACTTGATCTCCTGCTGGTGATGCTTATTTGGAAGGCTGGGGACCCTGTATGAAGTAGTGCCTCACTGTAGGGTTCCATTTCCTGTCCTCTGCTTTCTCACTGCATATGCAATGTGACCGCCTTAGAGTCATGCCATTATGCCTTCAGCAGCATGATGGACAATGTCTTTTCAACTGTGAGCCAGGACAAGTGCTTCCTCCCTTACGATGCTTCCTGTCCGTGTTTGATCACCGCAGCAAGAAAAGGAACAGACACAGGTCACGTGAGTGCATACATGTCACGGACATGTATTTCTAAACTTTATAGTCTGTGTGGCCACCCAGCTGCAATTATCTTATTGCTAATCTTTTATTCAACAATGATTCCTATACATAACTAGACAAATGTAAAATCATAAACAAAAGGTCTGCCCAAAGCTTTGCAGCCATAGCCGTCTAGACCTTTCCACAAACTACCTTGTAAGCAGGGCATTTAACTAGCTTACAAGTATAATATATGCTATGGTAAGTCAATGCCTTCTCTAATTTATGCATTTTTTAGAATACATAAATAAAAATCTTCCTCCCACTAATTTTAATAAAATTTACCAGCTGGTAATACTATGTTAGGTCTTAAATGTTGCTTAGTCAGGGTAATTCTGTGTACAGTTAATTGCTCAACAAGTCCATAGTACCTTTGGGGACTTTGATGCAATATCCATTTGCGTCACGGATGGGTTCATCTTTCTCCACATCATATTTAATCAGTTCATATGTTACAACTTTCTGCCAAAATTAAAAGATATTGTTTGAGTACATCAACTGAGCTTTGCAGTTTTTCTATGATTACTTTATTACAAAAAGTGCAGGAAGTATGTGTGTGTAGGGGTACTGAAGCAGGAAGATCACAAGTTGGAGCTAGTATGGGAAACCTTAGTAAGAGTTTATCCTATTATAAAAGTTTTTAAAAGGGCTGGGCTGTAGCTTAGTGGTAAATGCTTGTTTAGTATGTGCACGGCCTTGGGTTCAATCCCTGTCCTACAAAACTAAAACTGAACTTAAAGCACAGATACCCCAACTCTATCTTAATACATATTTTGATGGTGTAAGAATTTATGTCATCATAATACTAAGCGTATTATTTTCCCCACTCAAGAAAATCAGCAAGTACAACAGTGTCCAGATATAACTGCTAGCCATATATTTACTATACCAGCTTCAAATTCATTAAAATCAAGTGGTGCTGGGTGGTGGTGGCACATGCCGTTAGTCCTGTGCTTGGGAGGCAGAAGCTGGCTGATCTCTGAGTTCGAAGCCAGCCTGGTCTACAGAGTGAGTTCAAGAACAGCCAGAGCTACAAAGATACTTTATCTCAAAAAACCAAAACAAAACAAAACCCCCAAGTGGCGTTTTTGGACAACAATGTACAGTGATTTAATTTATAAGAAATTTATAAGAATGTCAAAAATTTTGTGGTTGTAGTTAATGCTTCTTTCCACATTAACTGCTGAGACTACTTAATACTTAAATTTTTTTTCTGAGACAGGGTTTGTGTGTGGTGTGTGTGTGTGTGTGTGTGTGTGTGTGTGTGTGTGTGTGTAGCTTTGGAGCCTGTCCTGGAACTTGCTCTGTAGGCCAGGCTGTCCTCGAACTCACAGAGATCCACCTGCCTCTGCCTCCCAAGCGCTGGGATTAAACGTGTGCACCACCACTGCCCAGCTATTAAGGATTCTTTCTAAAACACACACACCAACAATGGATATCTACTTGTATATTAAGAAGTCTACATTGATGAAGAAAATTAAAATAGTAAATAACAATATTGAATTATCTAAAATAATAATATTGAAACTTATACTGGGCACAGTTATTTCCAGCACTCAGGAGGCAGAGGCTTGTGGATCTCTGTGAGTTGGAGACAAGCATGGTCTACTTAGTGAGTTCCACATAAGTGCTGAGATTAAAGGCATGTGCCACCACCGCCCAGCTTTCTTTTTCTTTTTAAAGAAATTTGTTTAGTGTAGAAAAACTGACAATAAAAACATGACAACCAAAGGATGAGGAAGTAAAGAGCTGGTAGTGTATATGTGCATGTGTAAGTCAAAGTTTGGTAGAAAACAAATTTCCATTAAAATTCTCTTTCTGAGGTCAATAGTAGCAACAATGCCAGCTTGCTTGTGTGTTTAGCCTTGATCTCCACGGCTGGGCTAGTTTACGCTGACTTGACACTAACGTCCCAGCCTATAGCAGTGTGGTTCGATATGATTGTTCTTGGTGGTGCAAACACTTGCCCTGCTCAGAGTGGTGTCACTTGCCAGGCAGCCGTTACTGTGAGTGACGAACTGCATTCAAAAGTTTGTTTTATTGACATTTAAATATTTACACATAGCTAGAAGCTACCACACTGGACAGCACAGGTCTAGAGGTCAGGGAGTGAGCTGCACAGTGTGGGCTTGGTGCCATGGTTGGAGAGGGTCTTTGGACTTGGGAATGCCTTGTGCTCACACCAGAGTATAAGAAATGGAAGAGTTAATGCCCAAGATTATTACACAACAGGAATTTTGCATAAATAACTCAGCAAGTCTCTCCCCTTATTAATACCGAGTTTGGGCTAGGCGGTGGACTCAATCTTTTCATCTCTGTTTTAAGATGTAGAAACTGAGGCCTAAGGAATGTAAATAACCTCCTGGGGGGCCACTCACCTAGCAGGCAGTGGCAAACTGAGGTTTAAAGAGTGTAAGCAACTTCCTGGGGCCACTTAGCTAGGAGATGGTGGCACTGGGGTCTGCCTTCAGAGCCACAGCTCGTATATATGGACTTATTCATTGGTCAATTCCCGGGAACAAAGACTGTCTCAGAGCTCTGCTATTTTGCTATTAGAGGTGCGATGACAACAACAGGCCAATGGAGGGTCAGTATTCATCGGTTATCCTTAGGATGACTGGCAGACCACCAAGAAAACAGACCTTCAGGGTCCCTAGGCTTTTAATAAAACAACTGAGACAGGGAAGAGAAATAAGACATATCCTTCTGGTGAACCTACAAGGAGAACACACGTGTCGACCAGAGCATCTCACTTCTCCTGAAGGTTGGGATGCTGCTCTTAACCTGGCAGTTTTTAAAAACGCCGAGGGCCTTATCTCAGAACAATTGGATCCAGAGCCAGGAGGTTGGGAACCTA